CACATGTAAAGTTGCGTGTCGGGGTCTGAAGGGGGCTGGCAGGGAGCACAGCTCTGCACCCTGATCCCGAACCAGTGGGGTCCCTGTGCCGAGAGAACAACGCCTGACACCTCCTGCACCCCGGGGTGACGGGATCTCTGTCTCATAGGAGGTGGGTGATGCCAGCTTGGCCACGAGTGGCGACCACAAGCAGGGACATGGATCGTGGAGTCAGCCTGGAGAACCCCTACGCCAGCGTCAACATCCCGCGGGACCAGTTCCAGCAAAGCTTCATCACTCGGTACCTAAAGGATGAGCCCACTGTCATCGCCAACCCCGCTGTTGTGCCTGCCTATGGCGAGGAGGAGCAGGCAGACCCCGCTGGCAGCTGGAACAGCCCAACAGTTTCCACGGGGCAGGCTTGGTACCGTCCCTACAACCCCTATGGCAGCCTGAGGATGCCCGACAGGGAATCACCCAACTCCTTCTACACCGTCACCCTGGACAAGCCATCCAAGAGCCAGGAGTGGGAGGCTGGCGGGACATGTGGCTGCTGCAAGTGCTGCTCCTTCTGCAGAAAGTGCTGCTGTGTCATCTCCTAAGGGTCCTCACAGGCTATCCTGACCATGGGATGGGGACAGGTGGCCCCGTGGGGATGTGGCTGCCCAGCCTGGGCATGCCAGGAGCTGCCCTGGTGCCCAGCAGAGCTGGCGGCTGGGAGGTGGCACCGGTTGGACTCTGCCCGTGCTTGTTACCCATGAACTCTGCAGCCAGATACACTGGTGATGGGCACCTGCCAGGTCCTGAGAGGCCAGTGTGGGGCATGGGGGAGAACAGCTGATCCCGCCTGCCCCACGGAGGCCCGGGAGCCTCGAGGATGATGCATGCCAATGCAGATGCCACTCTGAAGTGACTACGCTGGGGATGGGACCGTGCTTTGAGCCTATGGTCCTGTACACTGACCCTGCCAGTCTGCCCTTGCTGGGAAACCTCCAATTCTGGGGAAGGTGCCGGCATTGCCTGCCTGCCAGAGGATGGATTTGGGTGATGGCAGCCCTACATGTGTGGCAGAGGAGTGCATCGTCA